ATTGTGGTTGGAATCCAAAATTGCTCTCAAAAGGCTTACTTTGCTACAGGCTGGGTTGCCAGCAGATGGGCTTTTGGCAAGCACTTGGATCATTAGGGCTATGACTTCAAGTGGGTTAATCCACTCAGGCATTCATTAGCTGAATGAGATTGTTAGGAGATGGGACCTCATTGGATGAACTGGGTTACGAGGTCATGGCTGTGAATGGTATATGTTGGCCCTGGCTCCTGCTTCTCTACCTTTTCCTGCTTCCCAGCTACTAGAAGGTGAGTAGCTTCGCTCCACCATGCCCTTCTGCCATGATGTTTCTTCCTCGCCATAGACCCACAGCAGTGGAGCCAGTTTCCCATGGACTGAAACCCCTTAAACCATGAGACAACATAAATCTTCTTCTAGATTGATTGTCTCAGATATTTTGCTATAGCAATGACACACAAGGTACAAGAAGTCTGGGCCATTTTTTGTGTCTTACCATATTACGACAACAAGTTGTGGGATAGTTATGAATTGTATATAGAAGGTACCTAAATGTTTAATAAATGGCACCACTACCACCTAAATGAGGTAAATAAATACGCTATGTGTGGCAAGGATGGTAAAATGTAAACTTAAGGATCCTGGGAGTCCCAGACTAAGGTCAGACCACCCCTCCTATTCCTATGTGATGGGCCTGCTTGTTCCTGCCCATGAAGACGTGAAGGGGGATGTGTGCCGATCCTCCTCCCAGAGCTGAGCGTTTGCTGGTGTCACCCAGGTGTTTGAACACACAGCAAGGCAGTGAGGCTCCAAAGGGTTGTGTGATGCAAAGGAGATGCAAGCCCTGCGATAGTGACGAGGTTGCGCTGGCTGCTGTACTGAGTGCCTTCACAGCTCTTAACACATTGTAGGGCCTTCATATTTATAAAATAAATGGAAAGAGCCTCAACCCCTTACACAATAATATTGTGTTCAGCTACTTTGATTTTTTTCTTTGAACCACCAAGTCAAACATACTCCATTATTTTCATTATTGTGGCAATTCTGGGATCACTAAGCTAAACTTTCTAAATAAAGCTTACATCAGGAACTTATCTTTTGTTGTACATTCATTAATCATAGATGTAGACAAACTGGTTAATGAACAGAGGCCTTTTAAGTATGTTTCATGAAAGGAAAACAGCATTAATTACACTATTTGTAATTGGTGTTTATTCCCTCTTTTAGATGATGGGTTGTTCTGAAAATCTTTGCAGGTTAAAGAATGTTTCTTCGGAAAGATAACATAAATTTTCACACAACCTCAGAAAATATTCATGGACCCTCTGAAAGCCTTTAGGAGCTCTGGTTAAACATGAGCCAAAGCTGATGGGAAATGCTGGCTATTTCACTTCATTTTCTGAGATTAAACAAGCATTAGCACAGAGGGAGTTCACATTTTAAAGGCTGCAATGTACAAAGTTTGTTCATCAGGAGCTACTTTGTACAAGACGATCTGTACATTTCACAAGATCTGTTTTCTCTGTCTCTAAAGTAACTTACGGCTTTTACAATTATTTATTCAGTTTGCAGATGTTTTCTAGAATAGTTGATTAGGAGAGTAACAGAAGACATAGACAAATATATGATTCCACTTATTTGAGGCCATCTAGAATTGGCAAATTCATAGAGACAGAAAGTAGAATGGTGGAGCTGGGAGATAAGGGAGCCGTATAAGTGTCTGCCTGGCAAGCGCAAGGACCTGGGTTGGATATCCGGTACCACTGGCCGTGCCAGCCCGGAACTCTGGGCATGCCATTCTGGCCACCGAAACTGGGTGTGGTGGTGCTCACCTGCAATTCCAGCACTGAGGAGGCTGAAATAGGAGGATCACAAGAATCCAAGCTGCATAGCAAGACCCTGTACCAAATACATAAGAAATAGAATGGAGATTGCTAGAGGCTGGTGGGGGGAGAAAATTAGTCATGGTTTAATGGATGCAGTGTTTTTGGTGGGAATGATGAAACGTTTCAGGTAAATATAGTGGTGATAAGTATTATGGAAGGATTTTTTTTAGCTTTTAAATATTTTTAATTGCATTTTAAAAATTAATTATATTGTAAAAAGATAAAAATTAATTATACTTATTGGTACACTTTAGACATACATAATAATCATATTCATCATAGAGAATGTGTACTTGTACATGATATAATTTGATTCTTTTTTCCTTTCTCTTACCTTTCCTTCAACTCCTCTTCCCTTCCCTATTTACAAAAGCTTTGTTTCCTTTCTCAGCATTCTTTTTTCTTTCCCATTTCCCCATCCCAGGTTCCCCTTCTCATTTGAATATTTTCTTCCTATTTCACAATACAATATCTGTTACATATTCTGGTTCTTA